ACCAGACAATATCTTTATTTATTTATCATAATAAAAAGGTATCTACCTCACCAGCGATCTAATTAATAAACATCCTTATTTTAAAAAGATGCATTTAAAATGTTGATGGGGCTATTAAAGCCATAACTGTGAAAACCAGAGGAAGGTGACACAATTATCTTGGCCTTCAGTAGGCTAGAAAGAGATGGTGTAGCAAGTGCCATGCTGTCATTAGTATATAGCTTCCAGGAGTATATAGTTTAACAAACCAAGAAATCTTCAGAACTCACTCAAAAGGACTTTAGGATAACCTGGTTTAGGACATTACATGGCAAAATGTCTTATTGATTCTGAGGTTCTAACCTAGGTCACGGAGGTTAGCAAACAAACATCTGAATCACTATAGTACCATACAATATGTATCATACAGAAATGCAGCTCACCCCATTTCTTGGCTAGTAAGTATGAGTGTGTGTAGAGTTAGCGTCTCTGATGGAGACAAAGTAAAACTATGGATAGTTGCTATTGAAGTCTATGGATTTGGTTGGGAAGTCGTGTTTATTAAAAGCTGGTTAATAACTTTAAAAAAAAGTGTGTTGTTTCGGATCTCATGGTTTTATACTGCTGGGATTTCAAGGGCAAGTCATTAAATAACATGTAACAATTCAGTTACATTCATGAAGAAATTAAAATATATAAACCTTTACTTTTTGATAGGTGTTCCTTTTATGTTGCACAGATCAGCAGAGTCACTCACCAAGACATGGAGCTGTGCAACTACATAAACATGTATACTGTAGTACTGTGATTTCACTCGATAAGAAGATTAAATTCAGTATGACAAGCCAATTCCATGCAATTATATAGTAACAATATTCATAATGAACATTTGGCACCTTCACACTTCACATCATCTTTATTCACTTCATTGTTATTCTTTGATTCAAACACTCACATCATCCTCTTCTGCATTTTCTTCTTTAGCTCCACCTTTTTCTTCTTCATTTTCTTCTTCCTGTTCCACTTTCAAAGGATGATACTCAGGAATAGATCTATTCACCTCCTCCTGCAAGATTTTGGTTTAGCACAATTTATCATTTCAGCATGAATATTACTGAAATATACAAGCACATTTGAAATCATCAATTTTTATTGTACATGTATATTGTAAATGCAACAGAATATTTCTGTGTATTTATTTGTATTTTCTTTCAAGTACAATATGCATTGTGTGTAGAAATTGTTTCGGTAATTTCAAAATTGTTGCACTTAAAATATATCATCAAGACAGATTAGATAATAAGCAATATCCCAACATCCCATTGTAAAATTGCAACATTGTAAAATGCATCAATTTGATAGACAAAGTCTGATGTTTTGTAAAAAGATTAGAAAATATAGTAAATAATATTATTGCATAGTATTGCAACAAAAATTAACTTTCATAATTCAATTTTCTTTACCAGAATTAATTGCAACTGAGAAAACATGAGTAATTGCAACTCAAAACAAGAGCTATCTAATGTGATGATTGGTTACAACATCCACACTGATTATGTGAAAAAATTAACGTTAAATTAACAAACTTAATTTAAAACAATTATTTGATACTTTCACATGACATCAGTCTTTCATTTTACACTCACCTCCTCTTCCTCTGCTTCTTCTTTATCTTCTTCATCTTCCGGTTCTACTTTCACTGGCAGATACACAGCAACCGGTCTCTGCATCTCCTCCTGCAAGAATTTTTTTGATTTATCAGACTGGAGACTGAATTCTTATGTAATTACAGTAAAATCTGTCAAAGATGGAACCCCGCGGTTCCTTTGAAAAAATTCCATCTTGGCAGGTTTCCGTCTTATGAAGGTTGCTAAAACTTTAGCATATGATTTAAATACAGTGTTTTCAATAGTATGTGTGAAACAATGTAATAAAAATAAGCATAATTTACCAATGAAAATTTTGCGGAAATTTAAAGAAATAAACAGCAAAACAAAGAAAATATAGGAGCAGGACAAAATATAGGATGGCAAGACAGCCTTCCCAGAATTCCATTGTCAGCTAAGGGAAAGTGGTGATGCTATTCTGTCTCTTAGAAAAGTTTAACTGTACATAGTTTTTAATTCCTCAAACGGTCACTAGAAGCCAACAAATATTCTTTGTTAAAAGTGGCACATCTGAATATTTTGTAAATGACATCTTCAATACATTAGCTTCTACAAGTACTGAAATGAGATTTTTTGATACATCCTCTTCATATTTTTCTAAAACCATCTTTTATTAAAATCACTCTTAGTTGTTTTTTTTTATTTTGCCTTTTTGTTTGCTTTTTTCCCTGCTTTTTTCTACATCAATTTAACTGGTGTATTTAACTTATCTTCTGTATTAATTCTATTATTTTTCCATTATATATTTTTGTCACCTATTATTTTACGCATGCAACCTTACAAGTGATATGTATACAATATATTGAAGAGAAAACCCCATTTATAAATTAATAATAAATGTTTGTGTATAAATTAATAATAAATATTTGTTCTCAAAATTGTGCAGTTGACAAATCAGGGCAATTCCAAAATAATATGTAAAAAGTACCATCGCCCTGGAGAGTAGATAAAGTTTTTTTTAATTTCTTTTGATAACCACTCATTTAGCCTCTTAACAATAAGAGGCTAAAAAATAAATTATTTGCATTATGGTTAAAAGCAGTATCAAAGAAAGTTAAAATTGTAACCATTGGAGTTAAAATGAGCACAGTGATTATTCTTATTTATATTTCAGAAATCGTTAAAAATCTGTCTCATTTTAACAAATCTGATAAGCAATAATACTATAAAACATATTGGCACATTATTCAAGGCATATTCACATATTTGTAGTAGAATAAGATAAAAACAATGACAACAAGTTTTTTCATAAGATTTTGAAGAATTAAAAGGAATAACTCTTTCTGTAGCTTCTTGAGGATCCTTCTGTATTTTAGAAGGACTGTTTTCATTCATGATTTCAGTAATTTTGAAAGAGCTATTACTACCAGCGCAAGTAATCTTCCTTTCACCATTTGTTTATTTAGCACACATTAGCTACTGTACAATATGACAGCTGACACCACTACTTTTATTATAATGGGTAAAATATTTTATTTTAAATTATTGCAAAGTGGAAATCAAATAAACATTGTATTATTCATGGAACATAAGTGCTTTTAATCATTCAGCTGCGTAATCAACTCAGCTAATGCCACGTCAATTTATTTCCCAGCCTCTCCATTAAAAGGTCACTTAAATTCCTCATATAATAAAATACTATTATTACCCTCACATGATAACGAGATTCTACAGCAGCATTTGATTGGCCATTAAGAAATAATGTTTGCCTTGTTAATAAAATAAATCCTATTCAAAACCATGAACTTTGTTTATCATGCAAATAATATATGGTTTTTAAACACGTTTCTCAAGAAAATTCCTTAACTTTTTCCAGGCAGCAGCCTCACCAGACATTTCTACTTATGCTAATGCAATAACATTGATTTAAACACAGTACCACTCTCAGACAAACAAAACAATCTGACCCCAAGAGTCAAAAATCAAGGTTAAAAAAAAATCCTTTACAGGTTAGTGGAAGCAAATTGTTATTCTTCTTACATCCTCATTTCCCTCTATCCCTTCTTGTGACTCATTCTCCTCCTTTCCTTTTTCTTCTGGTGGCTCCTCCTTTATCTGCAGCATTACTTCCATGAAAGGCATTATCTCCTGAACAAAAGATCAAAATTCTCATTGAAACACTAATATTCTTCCCATGCCGATCTGTTCATTATACAATCAAACTTGACTGAATCAGATTTCAAAAGACAGAAATTTTATTGTCACATAAAGAGGTGTCCCACATAATATAAGTTCAAAAAGTGTTCTATACTGCTTATAAAGGAATTCAATTATGGAGATTTAAATCATGTTAGTTTCAGTAACAAAAGTGAATGTTAAAAAAAATTAAATAGTGTTACAAACAAACTTCATAAAGAAAGTGTTGTATATTACATATAATTACTCAAAGGTAACTATGAGTAAAAAATTTTAAGTTAAGGAAATTCATTTGACAGAATTGAAAAAGTATCACTTTGTAACTACTAAATCACTCAGTATACTAGTTGGAAGAACTTCAATTCATTGATTTTGTATGCAGCCATCTAGAGCATTACCTTTACCACTTTTTTTTCTTCCTACTCAAAACTTGATAGTTTCTCTTCTTGAAACTATCTATCTGTCCATTAAAAAATCATTAATCTTTTCTCAGCTTACCAAATCCAGAACCTTTTGTTGATTCAAAGGCTCATGTATTGAAATGCGATTACTAAAACATTACTTGATGTAAAAAAATGTTCTCTCTTCTAATATAATAAGTAGTATCACTAATGGAAGTTTCTTTCTTATCCAGAGTTGACACTAATACCCATTGATGGTAGGAATAAGTTTGTTTTTGTATCAAATAGCTCATACCAGCACACCTTTATACACCCTCAAAAACTAATAAGGCCAAAAGCATAGAATGCAACGATGCTTTTGGACATTATCTAATGAAACTTCATGCAGAGCTCGCTAAAACCTTTTTAAGATTTAAGACTCGTAAATTCATAAGGCTTGACCACGACAAGAAACCAGGACACGCTTCTATGAAATACGAAACAACTAAAATCTGAAATTGTGATGATACTGATTAATTTATGAAATGTGTATGATTTCATAATAACTACGGAAACCTTTGTAACTGAAAATATCAGTATACAAATCATGTAGTAGCAACAGCTAAACCAAGAAGTGGAGTGGACACGTGGAGTTACATGCGTGTTTAATTACATTGGTGTTCCAACTAGAACTCACACTAAATACTACCTCATAATCTTAATAACAAACCAAATTTCCATCATAAGACTTTACATTAGTTCATCACCAAAGAAAGGGGAAGGGGAGGGGAAAAAAGGCAATACTGTTGATATTGTAATTCAAGCTACCATAACTGCGAAAAGCAATGTGGTTATCCTCTGAGACGACATAAATTGCAGTATTGATCGTCCAAATCACAAGTCAAAGTTAATACTCCAATTACTTTTAGAAGAGGGATTCAATTAGTAATGATCCAATTCAAGCAGCTAAGAAAGGAAAACCTACAATAGATCTGATCTTTGCCAAGTTGCAAACAAGCGTAAAAAAATCACAATGTAATGTACAACAACTCAGCTGCCACCCTGAAAAAACATACATCCAGTTGTAGTAAATTCGGATATAGTGAACCCTTGGTTATAGAGAACTTAAGTCACTGCTTCCATTTAACTTTGATTACAAATCAGCATAAGAAGATTCGGTCAAAGTGAACCTGAACCTCGGTAATAGGATATACAACCTGAAAACTCATTGTTGGTTGACTGGAAATACAACGACCTGGGAAAGAATATATCGTGTCAATGCCACAATTTCCAACACTAGGCAGCTTGAAAAAATATTGGCAAAAGATTATAATCCAAGAATTCTGCCCGGGGTGAACATAGCAGACCCAGGATGGAGACCTTACTGATGACCTCATGCCACTCAGCTTCAAGCTTGATGTTAGTGATATTCCACGGGTCAAAACAAATTATATTCTGCACAGACGACAGTAAACGTGCACCTGCCACAGCCTCCAGATACCTGCTGTGCCACGCAGAGTAAGGATCAGTTTCATTGGCAGCTTGGGCCTTGCCGCTACAGAATGGATCTTGTATGTTAGACGAGTAATAGGGTCTTCGAAGAGAAGGGGTTCCAACTATGCATGAGGCATTGAAGGGTGCCAAGACTGCATTACGATACTTCGAGTCAGTGGACAATACAGGATCAAGAATGGTGAAAGCGCAAACTCTGGAGAAGGATCTATAGAAATTAGTAACGAAAAATGTATGAAGCAAACAATTGAAAATTATTGATATTTTATAGGACAAATAAAGATATGGAAATTTTGAGTTTGTGCTGTTAATGTATGTTCTCTATACCTACATACATCAATAAAATCAATCATTGTGAAGAAATTCTATTTAATTTTGACATCCTTGGATAAAATGATAACCTCTGATATGGTGAACATAAAATGTTAGTCCCCAGAAGTTCACTATAACTGGAGTTGACTGTATTTCAGTAGCATGAACTTCTAATAAAGTGCTAAGGCAACCTGCACATAAGATGAAGAACAACTCACTTAAAGAAAAAAGAAACATGAACATTCTACAAAAAGAAAGAAAAAAGTAGCGGAAATTTAAGATTTAATTAAGAAAGGACTGGACTGCTTGACCATGCTTGCACTTACAAGTATATTAAGAAGATCACAAATAAAGAATCTGCAAGAAAGGTCAAACCTTGGTTTGACACTTCTTATAAACTACGCAGGGAAATCCTTGATCTTCTGCCCAAGGTAAGCAAATAGATGAAAAGACTACCCTAGTAGATTACACAACAAAAAGAAAAATTGTATGATCACACAAGTGAGCAGGCCTCACAAATTCGAACATGCGAACAACCCAGACACCTCTCACAAACAAGCAATAGCAGCTACAATAAAATCCACCAAAAATCAAAAAAGCAGATGGCATAGTTAATGAAAATTTAAAGGATGCTCCTGACAGATCTAAGGATCACAGCTTTTAACTTTTGCCTTGTTACTGAAACAAACTAAAAATGCAGAGAAACAGCTCTGAAAGTACTTTACAAAGGGAAAGGATAGAAAGAAGACCCCCAACTCCTATAAAGGCACCTCAAAGTCCAGGGTTAACATATAATAATTATTATTTAATGCACATAATTTTGCAAACAAACATTCTTAATTCCAAATTATAAATTACTATTTTCATTATTGTTAAAAACAGGAATGTTATAAAGTTTACAAGTGAAATTATATGATTAACCAGGGTTGAAAAAACCTTTTGTTGTTGTTGTTGTTTATAATAGTGGGTATTTTTGAGTTTTAGTGAGGAATATTATTTCACCCCTTTTAAGATTTCAAACCCAATAAATCGTATATTGTAACATTATTAATTAATATAAACATTAATATTAATATTCTTGGGTATTTAAGTGACATGGAGGAAATCTACACAAGTTTGCATTTTACTGTAAGATCTTTTGTACATGCGTTCTCATTGTATTTGTTTGGGTCATTTGTTGTAATGAAATTGGAGTTACCAATACTTGCAAATTAATTTTGCATTTTATTGTGTTTTTATTTTATTTTGTAGTTTTTGTTTTTTGTGCAGTGTCTTTAGTTTAAGTAAGATAACATCACTGAATACTGACAGGTCAACTAAAGTTTATATGCAAGAAGTGTTGTCCAGAAGATATCGCAGTAACAGCACCTTAGCTTCAGGTGGAAAATCAAATTAATGATTAATCAAGTGATTTAACTTGATTTTGATTGACATGTATAAACGAGATTCAAGTTAGAAATGTCGACTCTGAATTGCAAGAGAGTGAACAATCACAATAGTATTTTGGTATGAAAGAGTGATACAATAAATTTTATGTTAGCAGAATATATTCTTAACACATTAATTATGCTAACAAAATGTTTTCTTGTGAATATAAGCACACTCATGTTTTCTAATCAATTATACAATCAATTAACTTACTGAAATTGATCTTTGAGTCTACAGGGCTTGATATTGGGTACGTAGAATGAGGATCAAGACGAAACTTTTCAATTTTTGAAATTGACCTTTTGGAACTGATAAAAACTCGTTATGAATTTTAACTGTAGTCCTTTGACTTTTTTGCTACAATTCTTTGTTTCCACATTAACAAAATAAACTAATTATCGGACTAATGTAACCTCGAATAATATCGAGTATCACTTCAATTACATCACAACCAACTCACTTTCCAATTTCCTTGCATTGCCGAATCGAATTTATCAATGTTTATCACCCGCGATGTATCAGCATTCACTTTCACCGTGTTATCAACTAAAGAGCTCACACAATGTTCATGCGGAATTGACGGAATACTTTTGTATTAAATAGCCATATGTTAAGATTTCTACCACGTATACTTATTTAAATGTACGGGGAATTCAGGGGAATTGAATGACTTTTGATCAGCTGTCACACGGCTACATAACAGAACTTTATTTCGAAAATGTAATTTGTAACGAAGCTCCCGATCGGATTATTGCGACTCAACTGACAGTTGACATATCGCCTATCATTTAAATCAAAGTATAATTCAATCGTTGAAGGAGAAGGCTGGGAGAAGAGCGAATACGTGCTCACCTTTGAGCCGTGCAGTCTAATGCACGCATGGCATATGACGTAAAGTCCCAAGGTGGGGAGCCTTCAATACGAGGGAATTTTAAAAACAATAAGAATGTTCATGAACAAGAGTTCTACATAATATATTTTTATAATAGACCTCACACTTTGTTATAATACAACGATGTATGTACATCATTGTGACAACTGGCCACTACCACAGCACACTTAAAGCACGTACTTTATGTCAGGTCAGAGGACACTTCGTAACTTTCCCCGATTACTCCAATTTCCCAACATTCACTGGAAGAAAAACAGTAGTGAAGACGGATGGCTTTCACAACATGCCCCGGAAATTGTAACAATTGTACGGTTATTAGTCGACCCTTACAACGAGTGTTAACACTTTGTTACTTTTACTTCAAACGAGTTATTACTTTTACTTTAAAAATTAAACTGTACAAATCTTGAAATGTTAAATTATCTGGTACTAAAAATAATTATACAGTGTATAATATCCTAATCTATCTGTAGCAAGTATTGCAGTATAATTCCCAGGCCAATGACATCTCGATGAGGTTCGGGCCCGCAATGCGGGCGGGCCCAGGTAAAAGAGGGCCTACTTTTAAGGGATGGTTTTATTATTTAAGGTTCTAAAACTACTTGTTTGCTATACACTTTTATAAAGAGGGCCCGGGTAAAAGTTTTGCGGCCTGCACTCATTTCGTGACGCTACTACTTTTGAATAATTTTCAACGCCATAAACATTTTAAGAAATCATAAATAATATTCACTGATGGATTTTTCGAGTATATTTTCATCATTAAGCGACTTTATTTGAGAAAAGGAAATAATATAAAATTTAGTACTCCCAACTTCAGGACTAAAGCGATTTCACTGAAGAAAAAGTGTAATAAAAGTGATGATTGGTGGCAGAAGTGTCACCTGAGTAGAATCATGAGTGTAGCTGCAATAAACAAGATTTCAAAAGAAATATATAGAAGTGGTACATATAAAAGGTAGTGAAAATTATCAGTTATATTGATAAGTTGATAGGGCAAAGAAAGAACTTAAGGCAAAGGAAGATGATGATGCATGAAGAAGATGATGATTAAGGCAAAGGAAGATGATGTCTGATACGGATTGGGGGGGGGAGGTGTCAGAACTGAATGCAGGAGAGAAATTCTGGAGTTTCGGAAATTTACACTAGGAATACATTTTACTACTTAAATGCATCATCTTTTAAACATCCGTTTCGGAAATATTGTTTTCGAAAAAACGCTTTCTGTAGTCTAAATAAATCAGAAGGTCAAATTTTAAGGATCCATTTCGCATTTCCTCCGTAAGTGAAGGACGATATTTGAATTCCCGCACTTCGTTGCCACCCTATTGACTGCGTTCAATTAGGGAATAGTCTTCGTCGGCGGGCGCTACAAAATGATGAGGCCAAGTCCAATAGGGACTTGGTAAGGCCCTGGTCATAGATTAACCATGATGGAAACATGATTATTTCCACGATGAAATTAACTTCCATTCTCTGGCGTTGGTAAGTTCGAAAAACGTGTGCAGCAAGACAGACTAACTTACCTTGAGCGACATCACGCAGTGAATGAGGGAACTTATGTCGACCTTTTTCGACCAAACAACGCCAACGCCATCTAGTTTAGTGTGTGTAAATAAATGTAGATAGCGTTAATTTAACATGAACTTGGTGGCCATTAGAGCTCTATAATCAATTCTTTATAGTGCCTCAGTGGCCATTGTCCGAAAATATTCTTATACGGGTTTTCCTTTGACTGCGTGAAGTCGCTGAAGCTATGCGAGACCGATTAGCTGCTGACGCTTTTCATACATTCAATAGTATACTCCGACCAAACGTCCTCCTTACGGGCTTCGTGCCTCCACGTGGCCCAGAGCAGTGCGCGCACCCTGTCAGAGGCTGGCAGAACCACAATACTTTTGGAAGGCACATTAGAGGAGCATTATATAACGTAAAATGCTTGATCTACGACTACGATGGAAGGATATCAGGTCCAGGCCTAAATTAAATAGAAAAACAATCATTACAAATTCCGAAGCTCCAGAAATCAACTTCATCGTATTTTTTTGTGTTATAACATCAGTAGGAGCAGGTTTCTCTGCGAGGTCACTACGGCGTAGCGGATAAGATGCTTGCCTGCAAAGTAATGAATCCTTGGTTCGAGTCTTGCCTGCTCTAGGTGATTTTCGCTTCTCCGCAAGTACTGTAACCTGTGTCCATGGTGAGAGCGGCACTTTGTCAAGTCTCAAATGATGACGGTATCGGATGCATAATTCAATTGACGAAATCTCATGCATGGCCATGCACCACTCTGATGAGACCGAATTTTTTTTAAATTTAAAAACGAATCTACGATAGTTTTGTCCATATTCCCCCTGACCGCTGACTGAAATGAAATATAAAACCTTAATGAAAGAAGTGGAGCTTAAATAGGACTTTCTCACCTTTAGTAAGGGTTATGTAATACTATTTACACATCTCAGTCAGTTTTTGTAAAACTTATTTTATATCGTGAAACATTAGGTGCGAAAATTAAATAGTTTCAAGCAATGCATTTTTTAATCAAACCTTTAAATGAATTATCTTTCTGACATTGAATTTGTTGTGTATGGTTTGCAGTGTATTCACGAACATAATCGAGGTGTTTTAAGCCTTATTCTGCGTAAGCAGTATGCGAGAAAGTAAAAATAATTAAAAGTTAATAAATAATACATACTGATAGCGTTGGCAAACAAATGGAAATAGATCCAAAAATATATAATAGTAACCATTAAACATAACAGTATTATCATATTCTCCAAATATGCTCGTTTTAACATGAATTACACGTTATTTCTTGTCCGAACATTCAATGCTAAATGCGGTATAGTCTATACGTTATCCTACCTAAGAAAAAATCCTCAAATTGTATTTACTAATGCTACTGCATTTCTACCACTGCCATCAGAATTGTAAATGGATTAGGGCAGATATGCCAGAATTTACGAAAATGTTCACAGAATACATTTCGCCTCATAATATGTCACACTCAGCTTTTTGGTTTTTGACGTTAAACAAACAAATAAATAAAACAAAGCCTCATAACAGTTGCATGCCGATGTTCAACAAAGAGAATAATTCAACAGAATTTCACATTTCAGTATCTTTTACATTTGTCATTCAACGATCTTCTGAAATATACATCGCTGCATTATTTGCCAAGACAGCGTATCTAGTAGTATAAAATTGAAATGTTCCTAAAAATGAATGCTACACAATTTTTCAATTTTTCTTTCATGTTAAGTATTAAAAATAATGCTAATATAATCCAAACCCAACCAATTTAAAGGAATAACCTGCATTTATTTCAAGAGCCAGGAACTGTAGTTTCTAACTTTCAGAAATAAAACATATCATTATCAGCGATCAAAATTTCTTGAATTAAAGAAGTAATTTGATGTTATAAGTTATATTTATTACCTTCCATCAATCGAATTTCTTTTATAAGAATAGTAATAACTTTCCAACACTTCTCAACTTTGTTCACGAGCGCAGTAAATTTGGAGCGGGCGTCTTTGTAGTCACATTGCACAAAAATATTTTCATACTTTCAAAATATTTACTCATATTTTCAAAAAAAAATCATGACCTTATTTGAAGATTGATTTTCAACACATTTCATTAAGAAAAACATTATCTTCATAATTGCAGTTGTAGGAAAACGCCGAACAAATTTTGAACTATTTTAATTTTTGAAAAATCAGAGTTATCCACCAACACAAGACATTCGTTAGATGTATACGTAAGCTTCTGCGGCTCGAATCCATAAATTATCGGTTATCCGGGAGACGCCGCGTCGTTGGCTGGGGTACCGACGTTTCGCCTGACATGTCGCGGGCTTCCTCAGGGCAGTGACAATGCGGCGTCTACGATAATTTACAAGACATTCAACATTTTCTTAAACGTCCTTCAGATTATCTTCTTCTTCATCTCCATTTCAAGGATTAGGCAGGAATGCCTGTTCTGTCTTCACTTTGCACTTCAGGACCATCTCTTTCTGGGTCGGCCGATATCTCTTCTTCCCTTCGGTTGGTAGTTCATCACTAATTGTGGAATACGATCTTCCTCCATTCTTTCGATATGGCACCGCCATACTTTCGTGTTTTCTAAGATCCTTTCATTTATGTTGTATATATCTAGTTCTTTACGGATATCCTCATTTCTTATCTGGTCTTGTTTAATGCAGCCTTTAACTTTCGTAAGAAATCTCATTTCTGCTGCTTGGAGCTTACTTTGGTCTCTTTTTTTCATTATCCATGATTCACTTCCATACAGGAGAACTGGAGCAGCCATTGTCTTGTAGAACTTCATTTTTGTGTATTTCCTTGCTTTGTTTTGTGGTGTTCTGTTTATTATTCCACATATTGATTGAAATTTATTAGTTTTATTTCCTATGTTCCTTCAGATTATTAAACAACAAAATTTAATCAAAATCTATGAAGTCGTTTTTGAGAAAAAAAATTAAAAATTGCCTGTATTTCACATAAAATTACACGAAAATTACTCAAATTTTCGAAAAATTGTTCAAGACCTTACTTCAAAAATTTATTTTTAAGGAACAGATTTTATGAAGGGCAAAATATGTATCTTTAATATTGTAGTTGCAGGAAGTCCCCGAACAAATTTTGAATTTTTTTTCAAGTTTCGAAAAATTAGGGATTTCAACCAATTTGAGAACTACATCATTTTCTCAAACATCCTTCAGGCTATCCAACAACAAAATTTAATCAAAATCGATGGCGCCATTCTTTTGAAATTATCCTAGGGGTTTCCTGTAAAGTATCCCCCAAAATTAAAATATCGATTTCAAAGTTAAGAGGTCGAGAGGCCAGATCGATCGGGGAATATTAGTTTTGGAGAAAATCAGCTGAAGGATTCAGCCGCTAGCGTTGTTCACAGACGGAGTGACGTTTTGCAGCCAACTGATTTTACTTTCC